GCCCTGCTCTGTGCATGACAGGGGGCGGCGCCCCAACTCCCCAATCGGCCCTGCTCTGAGTCCAACCAGGGGCTGCGGGGAAGGCACCTAGGGATTGGGCCTGCCCTCTGCCACCCGGGAGGGGGCGTAAGCCAGCAGGTCATTATCTCCTGAGGGGTCCCAGACTGTGAGAGGGCACAAGTGGGGCTGAGGGATACCCCCGACCCCCGCCCGCCAGTGCACAAATTTTTGTGCACCAAGCCTCTAGTTATCTTAATAATGGCAAAGACTAAATATTTCTAAATGATAACCTTTTCCTTTGTCTCTTAAATTTTAGTGCAATTTTAAGTATCACCTCTTTATTCTTCCTTCCCCAAAGGAATGTCTCTTAGAATACTTGCGACACTTTCCCCACTAGATGGAACCATCTCGCCAGTGTAGATTTCCAGGCACTCCTTAGGCCAGCCATTAACTGCTGATGAATTGTAAAGGATTCATGCCATTAGTTTGAGGGATATAAAAGGAATGAATTGATTTATTTTTTAATTAGAAGATATTTTAGATAAATAAATATGTACAGAAAATAATAAAGAGATGAATACACGTACCACTGGCATGAGAAAGAATCCTTACAAAAACATTTGGGGTCCCTGTGACTTGCTTTCCAAATCTATCACGCCCGAACTCCCACTAATCATCACTTAACAGCTATTCTTAATTTTTGTTTATCTTTTCTGTATGTGTTCCTGTATTTTATTACATATATATTCATTAGTTATACATAGTTTTAAAATTATATATACACAGTTTCAAAGTATATGTATTCATCTGTTGATATCAACATTATAATTGGGGAGATTCCCCTATGTGGATGTACTCTTGACCCTTGAACAAAGTGGAGATTAGGGGAACCAACCATAGTAAAAAAAAATCTGTGTATAACATCTGACTCCCCCCAAAAATTACAGTTGTTCCTCAGTCTCCACAGAAGATTAGTTTCAGGATTCTCTGCTACCAAAATCCACGGATGCTCAAGTCCCTTATATAAAATGACATAGAACAATGCATACAATCGGCCCTCCACATCCATGGATCCCCATGGATGGAAAATACTATTTTCCGTAACAATTGGTTGAATCTACAGATGCAAAACCCAGGGATACAGAGAGCCAACTGTCTATTTATTGGAAAAAATCCACATATAAGTGGACACATGCAATTCAAACCCGTGCTGTTCAAGGTTCAACTGTATTTCACTTTAGTTCATTAATTTTTGGTAGTCAGTCATCCAATCTATAAATACACTAATATTTATTTACCCATTCTCTAGTAAGTAGAAACTTAATTTTCTTTCCATGTTTTTCTTCTCCATCAAAATAATGCTCCTATAAACATGCTTGTATTTATTATCTCATGCACACGTATTTTGTAAAAAAGGTTTCTTAGAAGTATACACTAGACGTGGAAATGCTGAGTCATAAAGTGTCAGAAATTGTTCCCCCAAACTGCACCAACATTCTGTAAGAGTTCTTCCCACACCGGTCTCACAAATTCCTGACACTTATAACTAAAACTCTACTCAACATTTCAAATCCAACATGCTCCAAACTGAACTTGTTCTTTCCACTAACACTAACTCCATCCACAGCCTTTCCCCATCTCAGATGATGGTGATTCTATTCTTCTGGTTGTTCAGACAAACACTCTGGATGTCTGGACTCCTTTGTTTTTGTTTTTTTGTTTGTTTGTTTTCATAAACCCCACAGACCATTCCTCAGAAATTTAAATGGCTCTAACTTTAAAATACATCCAGAATACAACCATTTGCAACTATCTCCACAGACATACGCTTACACTCTTTTAAACAAAAATCTTAGATTTAGTCATGTTTTAGAAATCAGAACTTTTTTTTTTCGGGGGGGGGGGATATTAAAGTAATAGCATATACATGTTATATATTGTGTAACACCCCAAAAATGTATTAAACACATTAAAATTTCTATAGCAAATGTATGATAGCCACAGTAAATATGATAAAGACTCTAAAGAGTCTCAGTTCAATTTTGTTAAGTTTTTCTACTAAATGAGTTATAAAAAACCCTGTTAGTTTTTGGTACTGCAATCTAAGCCACCATGGTCCCTCCCTCAACCATCTCCCAACTAGTATCCCATTCCTGCTTCTACCCTTATACCTCTATAGTCTATTATCAACATAACAAAGTGATCTTTTATTTATTTTTTTAATTAGTGGAAGGGAGAGGGAGAGAGAGAGAGAAACATCAATGATGAGACAGAACCATTGATTGGCTGCCTACTACATGCCTCCCACTGGAGATCGAGCCTGCAACCCCGCATGTACCCTGACTGGAATCGAACTGTCACCTCCTAGTTCATAGGTCCATGCTAAATCACTGAGCCATGCCGGCTAGGCGAGCCCTACCAATTCTACCTATAAAATACCTATCTTAAGTCATCAATTTCACTTCATCTCCACTGCCATGTCCCCTAGACCCATGGTCCACAAACTGCGGCTCGCGAGCCACATGCGGCTCTTTGGCCCCTTGAGTGTGGCTCTTCCTAAGCCTTAGGAGTGCCCTAATTAAGTTAATAACAATGTACCTACCTATATAGTTTAAGTTTAAAAAATTTGGCTCTCAAAAGAAATTTCAATCGTTGTACTGTTGATATTTGGCTCGGTTGACTAATGAGTTTGCCGACCACTGCCCTAGACCAAGCCAGCATCATTTTGTAACATCCATCTAATTGGTCTCCCTTTAAGTTAATTTTGTTCACCTTAACTTTTAATGTTATGTAATGTGAATGTCATGTAATTAATATCTGCTTTCTAGGTAACATTATGTGAATTTAATAAATCAAACACTGCAGTTCAAAAAGATCTTTTTAAATTGGGTCATTTCTATTCTTAAAACGCCTCAATGAATAAAGTCTAAAATCCTTTCTGCAGCCTACAAGGCACTGGCTGCTACTGCTTACCTCTTCAGGATCATTTACACAATTGTCCAGTCTTGTAGTCTGATCTCTTACACATGCAATATTCCCACTCACCTACAGGTCTTTACTCCTGTTCTCTCTACCTGAAATTCTTTTTATACATTCTTGGAGCTTAGCTTAAGCCTTATTTCCTCTGGGAAGATTTCCCTACACAGTTTCTCCAGCCTCCCTCTATATAATTCTAACTCTTTACTATAATTAGTTGCTTAACTGTCTATTTTCTGGGACTGTTAGCTCTGAGAAGAGATAAGTCTTGCTCACAATAACATTCCTAGCACCCAGCACA